TTTTACACCTACCCTGAAAATTTCATGACCCTGACCCAAATGCCCTTGGACCTGTGACCTCTTTTCCGAGATCATGTTTGGCCGGAATCGCGATTCGGCGTACGTCGCGTCGGCTCGCATTAGCCGCGCGTTTGCAAGCTTTTCGTGGTTTCAAACGTTCAAACATGTGATGTGATGTTGCTCCCATGCATTAGGGTGGTTGTCAAGGTCACCTGAAGGTCAGGTCAGGTCATTGACCCATGGTGACCTCGGGTGACCTCGGTTCACTTTTTCGAGTTTTACATGTTTCTAGGCTAGTTTTTGGAGCTGAATTCGAATTTAGCAACCATTCGAACATTTACGAAGAAGTTTTGGTGCCTTCGTAACATGTTACGAAGCTGTCAGAGGCGGTTGACACGTACTACGAATACCCGTCACGATGCCTACTGGTTGACCTGACCTGACCGGACCCGACCTGGTCTAAATGCTTAAAGACATCATCTGTGATCAAAACTAACACGATATTCGTGATCAGCACCCCGAAAAACCCCTTAGCAGCCACACTTTACGACTTTCTAATAGGTCCCGATTTTCCCGACTTTGGGTCATTGACCTGACCTGGAAGGTCAACCAATGACCTAGGACCTTAAAATTGGGTATCATCGGCTTCCTCTCGTCACGGGCAACACGCTCGTTTTTTCCGCGAAGCTCTAGCTCGATCAGGGGCCAAGCGGCAAGGGGGGGGTCCAACCGACCCCCCCCCTACACATTAGAAGCTGGAAAACGCCGCACAGATGCGAGGGTTAACATGTCACAACTCACAATTTAAGACTGTTTTACTGTATCAATCGTACTCATGCCGCCAAAACCACACAAAATCCGTCTCATATCCATCCGGTCCACGGCAACACCGCCAAGACGTCCGATCCCACAACCTGGCACGGCGCGCCGGTTTCGCCGCTTCCTCGCTCGCTCCGCCGTCGTCTCGCCACACCGCAGAAATCCTCCTCTATTTCTGCTGTCGGGACGCGAGCCGTTGCCATGCCAACCGGGCGCACGTCTCGTCAGCTGATGCCAGCCAGGATTAGGTGGATCAGCGACGCCTCGTATAAATATGTATGTCTCGCCTGGCTGGCGCGGCGGAGGCGCTGGAATGAAAATGTTAGCGCCGAACGCGGCGCTTAGGTGACATTAATGGCGCACAGGATTTGCCGTGTTTCGGAAGGGTTGGTGCCAGGGTGCCGGGTGATTACGGAAGGGAGGGGGAGGGGAGGGATAATGGAGCCAAGATTGGAGTTGGTTTGGGGCGAAATGTTTCGACTGATGCGGCCGTTGGCCATCTGTTGTCTGCATGTTGTTCGCTGCGCGACATTGGATGGACACGAGACAGTCGGTGGGGACACGAGATGCAACATTTTTGTTGATTTTGGGCTTTGGCTCATTTATGTCAGACAGCTTTTTTTTGGTCTCACAGTGCCATACACAATTGCAGAAAGGAAGGTGCTTACTGCTTTCCACTCACTCTGTGCAATTTCATGCCTCATGGGTTCTTGCAGTCTTGCTTGTCAGAGGCGTTTGTCGTGATCCCGTTCATATCTTTGGTGTCGGTTGTAGGTTCACTGTTTCCGGCCCCCGTTGAACTTGGTCGGTCTATCGGAAGCCGTCCCGATGGCTGGGGCGTCTCTGGCCACGGTTTACTTGTAGGCATAGGTTTTATCTTGATTCTGCGCTGTGACATTTACATATGCACCGATATTTGGACGGTTGCGGATTAACCACCACTAACGTTGTTGACCGATGGTAACGGTAAACCAATCAGTAACCAAACACAAGCAGTAACCAATTCTGCAACCAATGGTGTTTGTGCTGCCGAGAAGTAATCTGTAACCAATCAGTCCTGTCGCTCCGTATACCACACCGTAATCGCTCTCCCATCTCCCGTCTCTCTAATCTTCGAACGCACAGTGTCATTTGTTCCGTGATCGGTGCCTAAAGCTTCAATCTGGGACCCTCAGTCCCTGGAGACACTGTCCCCCTAGATCAGAACTTACGGGGGAAGGGGCTACTGGGTGGCAGCGCGCTGGTGTGGGTAAGATTGGGAACTCCTGCGATGCGTGGAAAGTGTGTTTCTGGTTGAGTTAGTTAGGTAATGGTGTCGTGGCTTGGTTATTGTTTCTTGGTGTGTTTGTTGCGTTTTAGTTTAGAGCGTGTCGAAAACGCTGCTGGCTGTGCTTTCGCGTGGATGTAGCCGAAACATTATGCCCGTTTTTCTCTAAATGAAGATTTATTTCGTTTGTTTCGGCCTTTGTCTGTGCTCGAAATGCTCCTACGAGTTACGACTTAAAGTTGTGACTCGCCACGGCTATGCACTATGGACAAATTCCAGCAAAGTAATTATGGACAGATTTCGTAATAAAAACTCGCTTGATAGGTAATGCAAAACAAAAACACAAATGACAAAGTGCGCACGCACGGGCTTTTAGCCGACGAGCAACACATTATTTGTTTGTAATGCGTAGTTTTTAACTAAATACTTGCGTATAAGCGATTTTATTGACACAGCCTACATACACTTCTCAATCCTCATACCTCATGACACTAAAACATCTCATCGGGACCTCTTTTTTACCAAGTGTAGGTCAAACTCCCTCGCAGTACATACAAACACCTGCTTTACTCCCACGAGTACCCCCGACACGGATATTACCAATCTTCACATGACGATTTTTACGCGTGTTCGACCCGATGAATGGCGTTTTTGTAATGATCGCCATTGTGGTAGTGATACGGGGTCACGCTTTCACGGTACGTTATAGGGGGATGGGTGCTCGAGGAAGGGGAGTGTCGAGGGCCGGGGGAGGTGAGGAGGGACATGTGTCGTCACCGAATAATGCCTTATGTAGGTGCGTTGGGGATGGAGGGGCTGATAAAGTTGAGCGTATCGCCTTCAGATTTTGTTTAGGAAGTTTTTACGTTTTTACGATTTTCTAGTTACGCTGGAAGTAATTTCTCTTTTATAACTGAAGGGTTTCGATTATTTAGGCTATTCAACTCGTTCTGGCAGTCTCGGAACCTTCCAACAACGGACAACAATGACATATATCTCCTAGGAGAAAAATCAGCGACTAAACGTTATGACTTTTTTCAACGTTTCGTATACCGCCGCCACCGCAGCTGCTCGTTCCCGCCATTTCTCCCACCCCGTGGCGGGAATTGGCGCGTTTTTTCGTCTCCTCGCTCCATCGGTTGTACTGAAGAGCGTTTGATTATGAATACACGTGCTTCATTACGAATATGAATGGACAGGGACACTGAGAGCATATGGTGTCCTCACATGGGTACTGGAAAGTGTCGATAGCTTGATGTCGTATAATTGACTCAATGGAGGTAAGTTGTGTGGCTTGGTTATTGCTGACGGATCCACGGCAATGTGCTTGCACCAATGATAGTTCAAGAAACACCAGCAGCTTCTTACATATGTAGCAGATTCATTACCGGCCTTTTCCCTAGGCTAAACCCCTGTCAGATCATGGAGCCCTCGCCTCGAGGAACTCGCCACCAGAGCTGACGGTTTCCACTGTAACAAACCCACCGTTTTCCGCCGTAATAGAGCTGCTGTTTTCTGCCGGATTACACCCCATCCTCCTCCCGTCACAGAAATTCCTGCCAATATCCGTCTCTCGCGCCATTCCGTCGTTCCCGCCAGCGCGCGGTTAGTTTGGCGGCACGTGCCAGGCGCGTGCCGCACCGCCTGATTACCTCCAATTAAAGGGCGCGCTAGATCGGCTAAAATGGCGCGAAATTGCCTTGTTCCCGCGCGATGAGCAGGGAAGAGGGGAAGAGGGGTGGTGTCTTGATAAGGAGGGGAGAGGGGAGGAGAGATTGGGGTTTGTGGAGAGATGAAGAGGCTGGTGACATCGCGGTGACATGTAATTGTCTGGTGGTGACTGGTGATCCTAGAGGTTGGAGTTTGGAGGTTTCGAGTTTGGAGTTTAATGGGGATACGTAGAAAAAGTTTGCGTTGGATTGCACCCTAATGCACAGCGTAGACAAGCTAAATCATCCAGGAAGTTTGTGAAATCTGGGGAAAATTATTAGAACGTATACTCCTCCCTTACACACACAATGTTCGTTCAATAGCACCTCCCTAGGTCCGCTAATGACCAGATCGACTTGTGCTATTGCCACCAACCGTTGTTTACAGGCCGGTATCAATTCTCGTTTTGTCCGTGTCAAACCTTTCATCAAAACTCGTTTTAGTTTCCTCCTTTTAACACCTTAGGTGGAGACTTCCACTGGCGTCCTAACTGAGTAGACGTTCAAGTTGGCGTCTAGTCTCCACCCCTTGTCTAGTCTAGTTCAAGTCTTCACCCCTTCTTTTTAACTTGCCGTGCACTGCCTTTGTTCCTACACATTTCCCGTCACATTTCCATATCCTCTCGGCCACCCATCCCCCGGCATGCCCGGTGGTCGGCCATTCCACATTATCTATCACCATCCCCATTCCGTGCCGCGACTTCGTATCACATTATTTCCCGTCTCCCTCAGATTTATTCCACTCCAGATCTTCCCCTGAAGACATTATGGCTCCCCTTGCCGTCCCCATATGTTATGATATTCCGTTATAGGGACCCCGCGAAACACGGAAGGATGGCAAGGGCTCCGCCCCGCAGTTGGAAGCGCAAAATAGGCGGGTCGAGGGTGCACACTCCGGTCGAACTTAAATCTCCTGTTATTCTGTTGGTCATGCGTGTTCGGTTGGTCGTCCCGACATCCAGTATTGCCTGGACACGCTCCTGGTAACGCCAGGCCCGACGGCGGCGGCAGCTCAACGCCTGATCCTCTATTTACATTCCAAATGCGTCCCACGATCCCCTCAAAGCCCCCGCCATTTTCTCTCCGGCCGCCGCCGCTTCTCTCTCGTCCAACAATCGATCCACCGCCAGCCAATCATCTCCCTCCGTCGCATGACGTCAGCGTCTAGCCGGCGTCTGGCGGCGGAGCGTCAACCAATCAGCGTCGAGCTCTACCGCCGCCGGGCGCGAGCCGAACTAAGCGTCCGAAACGAGGCGGCGGATTCAGAGGGTTACGCGGCTTAGACGGGAGCGGTGGTGCATTTTGTTGTTTGATATATTACGCTAGCTTACGCCCGGATCGGTGGTCTTACGTTGAGATCGGTGGACTTAGGACTGGAAGCGGTGGACTTAGCCTGGCTATCTAGGTTCCAGGTGTGGGCTAGAGCGGGTGTGATTTTAGATCGAATTGGTTCGGATTGGTGCGGATTGCTTGGGAGAGCGACGCGGATTTCACGCGGAGGACTGTGAAAGCTTCCGTGAAGCTGCGGGGAAGCTGGATGAAGCTGGTTTGAAGCTGGTGTGAGCTTTCGGGAAGCTGTCGGAGAGCTGCGTCAAGCCTGGCCAAGCTCTCCGTGAATGCTCTCCAAGTCTTCTCGAGCCCCCTGAAGACTCTCCTTCTGCCGCCTCGAGCCTCGCCAAGCCACCCAAGGCTTCCCGAGACCTCCCATCGCCCTGCTGACCCTGAGGTCATCCTCAGGTCACAACATGGAAGGTCTCGCCGCCATGAACGAGATGTGTCTCCAAGAACTGGTCCACGTCCAGGAAAACATGTCATCCAGCATACCACCTACGCATCAACCTCTTCAACCGTCGGTAAAGGCGGGGATCGACAGCACGACAGAGATGACGTCACTGGGAGGGGAGCATGGTCAGACGACACAGACGAGTCAGACGGGTCAGACGGCACATCAGACGGCGGTCAACGCGGTGTCGACTGTGAGACGGACGCCCAGTGCAGGTGAGTTTGAGACGGGGAGAGGTTAGAAGGAGGGTTAGAAGGGCGGGAGGAGGGTTAGAAGAGTGGTTAGAACGGTTGGAAGGAAGGTGGGAACGGTTAGAAGGAGGCTGTAAAAGAGGTTGGAATGATTGTAACTTGTAAGAGCGGATGTTCAAGTCAGTGAGAAAAGTTCAGGTTATGTTGAGGCTGTACATAGAGTTAGTTTAATATAGCTTTGCAGGCTAGCTGTGTCAGTCGGTTGAGCATTGTGTCAAAAAAATGACGGTTGACGGTCGGTTGAGCCGAAGTTATAGCGTTCCGTGTCAGTCTGTGCCAGTTTGTTTTGATAGTCTTTTGTGCAGCCTGTTTTGTCCGTCTGTCGTACCTGTATGTTGTACCGCGCTTTTATTACTTATATTATTTTCGTTAGTTGTGCCAAACGATTTTTTCATTTCACTATTTAGTATTTACTCCAGTTTGTGTCTATGACTAGATAGTCATTCCACCAAATGTCACCCAAGAAGTCAGCGCAGGTCAACGGGTCAGGTCACTCTGGGAGGGTAAATTAGACGGTTCGGGGAGGTCAACCAACCGGGCAGGTCAACTGACCGGGAAATGCGGTCGGACGGGCTGGTCGGTCAATCGGGCTTTAGTCGGGGTGATGTAGAACAGTCGAAATGGGGAGTTCAGTTATGCGGGTTATATGTTACTCACCTCTCATGTCGTGGAGCGTGGATACTCCAGCAGCTCTTATGGTCTATAGAAAGACCATGTAAGGTCTGGTTGACGGTTTGTCATCAGACGAAAGTGCCGGGAGCCTGGTAACCAGCCTCCTATACCACAGTCTGCGTTGTTAATTTGTGCGACATGAATGTTGACTGTTGAACGGCACCTGACGCCGTGTCGGCATTTACGGCCCCAAGGCTTTAGTTAGAAGTTGATAGATTATTTGGCTCATTTCATCGGGTAACTGTAATGAGGGAAAATGTTTACATCTTTCTAAATTGCTGCATGTTTTTATTGTGACGCGGAACCAATTTTCAGTGTTGTTTGTTTATCCTTGGGGTAAGCACATAACTAATCATTTAACACGAAACGTTCTGCGTAGGTCAACATGCAATACCGTGTCCGTGATTGCTGATCTCAAAGCCTAGTGCCCTGAAAAAAACAAGTTTACCAAACGATTGCAGCATTATGAACATTGCCAAAAAATGCTTGAGTATGCTTCAACTACATAATGCATTTACTTATTGCGATGTCTGTCGTGGAACAGTCATACTTTGCAGTAGCTTCAAGAAAACCGAAATTATGTCCCGGGATTAAATCAGCGGCCATATAAGCCGTCTAGGACTATGCTTCTTTATGCCTATAGGTCATGCTGTTTTCCTTCATCTAATTTTGACACGGGGATCTAACATGCAGGATTCTAGCATACATGCAGGATTCGGAATTATCTACAGTACGCGACTTCCCTCGGTTTGAGTAGGTACGAGTTTTGCGAATGCCCTGCCACACCTTTTGAGGTCGATTTAGAAACACGTCAGTTGTGAATCCATATCAAATTATTGTAAAAATGTTGCCTTTCACTGAAATTACCGTTAATTGCCGGAAATGTTTAAGCGGCATTGTTTCAAATTTCAATTGACTTATATTGGTTTGTTTTAAACTACCCACTCCAAAACCTTGCAAAGCATTTCGCACAAACGGTTTTCGAAAGGCCAATGACACCATACTGGACACTTGACCGCAATGTCACCAGAAATCTGACACCTGTCTCCGCTTATTGACACCCCTCGCCGTGTTTGATAATCCATGGAAACTCCCGACTCTAGAGTCTGCGGATTTATCTTACTTTGTGTGCATAGCGAGCGGAGCTCAACGCTGCTACCGTGTATTCTTTGCACTATTTGCACGACGATGTTCACACGTGCACTGTGCTTGAGCTTCACTGATAGCCATTGAAGCGAGCGTGCAAAGCGAGCACTGTTCAGTTTCGCGGTGTCTTAAGCTGGCTTGTAGGGATGTTTTGCTGAGGGGAATGAAAATGTGCCGCAGTTTGTTCTCAATGATGACGGAGAATAATCGGTAATTGGTTACTGTTAACGGTCGCTGCTCACTAACGGGATGAAAACGTCTATATTATTTAATATTACCGGTGCAACGATCACCTCTTGTGCCAGCATCAGAATGCATCTTATCAGTGTTGGCCCTTACGGCATTCTCATAGTTTATCCAAGCTAAAAAAATCCCAGAATCCTTCTCTCCTCTCATACATTTCTCTCCAGTCTTACGGTTTCATTGGAAGACTTGGCAGGCCGCTACCACCGCCACCACCCTCGCCAGCCGCCGCCAGCCGCCGCCGACGACCCACAAACTCCGATAAGCGCCCTGCCATAAACCTTTATAGCCCTAATTAAAAGATGGTGGTGTATGCCCAAAGTGTGTTGTCGTGTTTCGGTCGCACCGAGAGTGTAAACACGGCTGATACAAGGTAGAGTGTCAATAGACACCGATATTGCGTGTCAACATGACTCCCTGTGGCGGCGGTGGCGGTGGCGGCGCAGCCGTGGATGGCAGGAGAGGGATGTTTTGGGAGCAATGGACGGAATTAGGGGAGCGAGGGGATATATTTGGACATTTTACGCGGTTCAAGAAGGCTTACAGATTTCATATGGATGAAAATTTATTTTACGCTCTTTATAAGACATAGCCCATTGTCGATACATTACCCATTGATGCAGTTTTTCTCTGTTCCAGCTTCTCCGTCGTGACAACAATCGCAATGATGAATAAATATAATGTTGCCGGCGTAGTCTATTTAAAAACGAATTTTAGACACATGACGGGAATAAGTAAAAAAGCAGCACCCAGCGTCTCCTTTATTCCGCCATGTTCCATTGCCCTCACATAACTCAAGTCTCCGCATGGCCATAAATCACAAAACACAGGCGATGCCTGATGACGTCACAAAACACTTATGACGTCACCTGATGTCACCACTTTTCAAACACTCGGGACTCACGCACTTTATGTAGCTGATCGCACCGAAGAGCCAGCGGTATTGTAACTATGATCTTTTTGATCCTTTTGATCCTTCTGATCTTTAGGTAATCCTCAGCACATTGGCGCACAATCCAGGTAGCTATACAAGTGTAGGTACACGGTGTTTCTTTGTATTTCGTAAACCAATGCTTATTTGCTAGGTGATGTGTGTGAAATGTGGAATATTTGTAGTTTGGGATGGATAGGACCTTAACCAGTTTCAGAAGACAGGAATTTTGTAGTCTTTGCAAAAGTTTAAAAGCATGCACATTCGAAGAGTCAACAGACCACTGTCAAATTCCTGAGGTCACACGTTGGCAGTGTGAGATTTTTTCCTGTGCAACGATATCGATCGAATTCCGTCAACTTTAGACGCTGCGGGAGGGGCTAATGCCTCAAATCCGTAGATTAGTTAGGAAAAAAATCCCTCCCCCCTCCTAGATTAATCTGCGCAACTCTCGTAAAACGACCGTGGTAGGGGGATGGTAGCGGGGGGGATGAGGGAGGGGGTGGCACAAGGTAGCTATAAAACATCGCCGTCTAAAATCCCTCCCGATCTTTGTGTCACCAGAGTTGCTGATCTCTTAGATCTTTGTGTCACCAGATCTAACACCGGCGATCAGTGTTTGGTAGAACACCTGTGATGTGCCTTCCTGGGGTGGAGGGTAGAGTGGGGAGAGAGGGAGAGGGGGAGGGAGGTGATGAGCCAATTGTCAGCGATGAAGACCGATTACGGTAACGATTGCCAAGACTTGGTTATCACTTGCTGTTTACGCAGGGTGATCGTATTCCCACTTGCTGTTTAGGTGCAATACTGATATGACAGCGATCTCTCGCCTCACTCTTTTGGCTCTATAGTTTTTTCTTCTTCTTTTTCGACCACTCCGCTTTTGAGAAGACGAGATTCTACGTTGAATTTAAATTACGATGATAGTTAAGTAGACTAGATGACATCTTAGCGTTTGTTAAAATCACTTAACGTCACATTGCACAGTTTTTATGCTTCATGTTATCAAATCTTTGTTGACGCCTTGTGAAGCTCGCGCCCTTTACAAGCTTCACAGTGAATTTTAAGTTTGTCGCCACGCAAAACCTCGCCTCACTTCCTTGACCTTTCAGCAACCTAATTAGCGAGGTGCTAACTGGCGGTGCCAAGACACCGAACGCACGTTTGCACCTCTAAATCCCCCAGCCCAGGCAGATTAGGGGATAATCCGTATGATCCATGCGCCATCAATTGATGCCAAGGACTGTGACAAATTGGGAGCAGCTGCATGTGAGTTTGGATAAACCGATGGCAGAAGTGGACTAAGTGAGGTTGTTTTGCTACAGTTTGAAATAATGTGGCAGGGTTGGTTTAGGAGTAAACTTATAAGCACTGTTATAATCTGTTTATTCCACGACGGCGCATATCTAAAGTAGTTTAATGAAAAGCAAACGCGAAGCCTTATGATGAACCCTCATGTTCTTCAAAGTTACTTCTGCTTTATTGTCTGATTGTTCACCTGTGCTTTGTACCTACTTTGTGGCGGCTTGGACTTGGGAATGCACGAGATTTTGATAGCATGCAATTTATTCTTCCAATCTAAAATTTCACAGCCCTGAAGTCGATACTTCTCCCCAATCTTACCCATTAAATAATAAAACAATCATATCCGCCGTCATAACCCGGTTACAGTTCGGTGACAGGAGGCTGTTGAAGCTGTTGCAGCTATCAAAAACCCACCACTTATCACTCCCTCCCCCGTAACGGGTTCTCCGTTGACGTCTTTGGTCGTCAAACCTGACAGAAATGATGGACATATCACCTGGTTAGATTAAATTTTATTACACCTGTTGTTTACTCAAGCTGCAGGAGGCTGTGTAATAAATACCAAGATTGGGTATCAAGAGACGGCTTCTAGGATCTCCAGACATCGGGTCATATAATAGCAAAGTTCATGGTCATAATATGTGATGCAATACAAAATAATTAAAAT